GCCCTGTTTAGTCTCTCAGCCAGTAGGTGGTGTTTGTGGGTGAGATTCAACCACACCCTTTATGACGAATCAGTAGATGCAGTAAAAGGGTGTGCAGGATGACCTCCCTGTCAGTAGGTGCACTTGCAGGGAGGAGCGAGCTGCAGTGCTGTGTTTGGGTCCTGTAGCTAGCTCTTGTTCCTCTATAGAGGCCCTCTTGTGCCTCGGGTGGTGGGTGGGGCCTTGGGACTTCCAGGTGTGTCCTTATTCTCCCCCTCAGTGGGGGCAGGACCGGAGTGAGTCTGGGTGGGGCTGGGTTGGATAAGCCTGCCCTCAGGCTCCACAGCTGCTGCTAGCAGGGTCAAAGTTCTGCTCTTTGTTTCTGTGCAGAGCTGCCGGGAGGGGCTGAAATGGCTCCGCTCAGCTGAAAGTCTGGGCCTGGGGGGTGGGGCTGTCCAAGACCCACACTCTGGAGAGCGGATCTCGCTCCCCTCCACTCTCCCCCTCTCCGTGGCCTCTCCCAGGCCTCTGCCAGCAAGCGGGACCTCAGGCCGATGGATCCCCCCTGGCTGTGAAGGGGGCTGGGAGGTTCCCTACCCAGGATCGCAGCCTGAGCTGGGTGCACAGCCCTCTTTTGGGAGGAGGGTTGCCGCTCAGGCACGCTGATCCGCCCCTGAAGGCACACACTCCTCAGTAGGCTCTTTCACAGATCTCTCCTCCATGCCCCGGGGCAGCGCTATCGAGACCCGGGTGCATGGGGTCTGGTCTGCAGGCCTGTCCCCTGGGCCCTGGAGATCAATCCCTGACCCTGCCAGGGGGAGGGGTGCTGGTCCCGAGTCACCTACAGGGTGCCTAAGCTGGATTGATTTCACTCCACCTCGGGATTTGCCCCACTCTCCTGGAGTCCCCAGGCAAGTAGCACCTGGGAGGGCTGGCGGGCAGGGAACTGGCAGTCTGAGTGCCCCTCAGTCTGTTGTAGGGCCCCAAAAGGAAAGGTCCCGTTCTTTGGAGATGCCTCCGTGTGGTGGCTAAATTGTCTTTCTGGGCACACACGGGTAGGGAGGGGGAAGGAGAGAACGGAGCACTATGGCGTCTGCCGCTAGGCTCGGGTCTGCGCCCGGGGAGGTGCCCGAGGGGGCTGGGAGCCCGGCGCTGAGTCCGCAAGAGGCCACTGCTCACTGGCGCAGCCGTCTCTGGGCTGGTGTCGGCAGGTCTCTCCAGCCGCTCAGGAGCCACCCGCAGTCCAAGATGCGAGGGAGGGGGAAGTTAACCGCTCCACCTACCCTTGTCGCTGGTCTCCAAGCCTCTCGGGACCTCTCTCCTTCCAGTTCTCCTCCGCAACGTCCTCCCGTGGAGTCTCCTGTAGTTTCAGGCACCCTTCCTTCCGACCCTCACCCGATCTATGTTTCTCTGCTCGCTTATTTTTTTCTCTCTCCTCTAAAATTCATCTATTTTGTAGAGACCTTCTGACTGGTGGCTTTTCTCGTCTGCCATCTCGGCTCCTCCTCTCACAGTGACTTTTGTAATGTAAAAACCAGGTCACTTACTGCTAGCACGTGACAGTGTCAAAAGGACCCTGAGGTCCTTTAACTGGATGCCACACTCGGGAAGCCGATGCCTTGTCTGTCCTGCAGCCTGTGACGGCGGGACCCCAGCCCCCAGTGCAGCTAGGGAGAGTCGAGAGATGGAGGTGGGGTGTGTGGGGACAGCTGGGACACACGACCCTCACCGATTCTTGGGTGGGAGATGCCCCCTAAGAAAGGGCTGGGAGTATCTGCCCTATTTACAGAACCGTACGGAGTGATTATTTTTTTATATTTGTGGGGCACAATTCAGCTATTAGTTTGAAAGAGACATTTCTTTTGTTGCACATAACTGGGTGAGGGATATATTAACAGTTGACATGAACTTTTAACAGAGCAAAAATTATTTTTTAAATGATTTCCAAATGTTAGAGAAGTTCACAGCTATTTCATCTTGAAAAGCCTACTTAAATTTCTACAAAAAGATGGTGCTGTCCATGTTTCATCTTCAAAAAGTAAAACTAAGATGAATGGCATCTGTCTCGCTGAAATTTCTGGTCAAAAGTACATCACCCATGTATAAAATCAAAATAACATTTTGTTATAAGGTACCTAACTCTCCTACCTGTTGTGGGGAGGAGAACTGTCCCCAGGGTCCCAGGGATCAGCCCTCTCCTCTTCCTACTTGGTGGCGGTTTCTTCTTGGCCCACAGCACGATCACACATCCCAGGACCCGAGGGTGGCTGTCCAGACAGCACCAGCTCTGCCAGCCTCCGGCCGGGGCCAGGGCCGGTGCCAAGCAGCCGCGATAAAGGATACGTTGTTAAGAAATTACTTGGAAGAGTTTAAAATTTGAGGCAGGAGTTAGAGGAATGATAATCCTTAGCCTTGGGAGAGACGAGACTTTCTTAGACGCAGATAATTATTTTTCACTTCTGTATAAAAAAGTCTCTCCAGGAACCTAAACTTCACTCCTTAATAAAGTTAAGAGCCTAGAACCAGTTTTTCTTGTTCACTCAACTCTTAATTACTTGGAGCAAATTACACAGATCAGTATGTCCTGATGCAATTAAGTCTGGTAAAGCCTGAGTGTTTGTTTCCGAAAAGCACCACAGGCGATTCTGAAGCTTCCCAAGACCCAAGAAACACTAAACAGACTGGGATTTCTCCATCGTGGAAGGCCTCTAGTTAGAGCTAACCACACACACGAGAGGAGCTGAATCTTTACCGAGGAGGAATACTATTTATCAATGAGCTATGATTCTCTCAACTGGAATCTACCTGCCTTTCATCTCCACCGTGGCTGTTTCCCTGTCGGCATCACGGCAGTGCTGGTGGGATTTGCCGTCTCTCATCTGCTGCTGACCTAAGACCCCTGAGCACAAGGCCGGTCTGCTTTGCACACTACGCAGAGCTCACTCCTGAGAAAAGCTGCGCCAACTTGGAATGTTCCAAACACCACGCACATCCTGAGACTCCGGAATGAACTGCCCAGGGGCGGTCCCCGGGGGTCTTCAGGGCCTTCAGCCTCTCCAAACAAGAAGGGCACAGAGTTATAAACATTATTAAATTTTATTAACAAAAACTTTGTACATTTTAATACATGTGGAATTTTACATCTAGGTAAAATAACAACACATTCAAAATTTACCATTTATACAAATTGTTACAGAATAACCACCAGTGGGTTAAATAAGTAAAATAAACCACACTGATGTTTTTAAATTATCTACAAAAGATCTTTTTTTAAAATTCCCCTGAACATATAAAAATAAATTAATTTTACTTTTCAGTTAAATCTACCAATTAGAAATATTACAAATCAAAATATCGATGTTATCTTATGAATTTTTCACAATACAAAACAGATTCACAAAACCTTATTTACAGAAATGAGGTAAGAACTGCAATGTTTAACCAAGAGACATATTGCAGAATTAACATGTTCTTCCAGCTAAGTACACAGTGGAGGTCTAATTGCAGCTGGGTCTTTTCCACTAATAATTCACACATTTAAGAACAGCTCAGTGATCACGTCCCCCAATCATTTAATATATTCTCTGCCATGTTGTCACAGCAAGAGTGCAGCTCCCCAAAGTGGAAGGGCTGTGATACGGTTTCACCTGCTCCAGGAACTGTAGTGGTGGGTTTTTTGTTTTGTCTTAATGGTCAGTAATGAGAAGTTGTTTAAATAAAACAAATGTATTTTCTCGCCAAATCCACTCCTTTCCTTGTGACTCATTAGTGGACAAATACCCAGGTAACAGTTTTGCCTGAGCTATCTACAGTGGCACAGAAAGTTTTGAAGAAAGGCGGAAGCATGGGGAAGGCTGCCAGCGCGTGGGACAATTCCTGCCGCTCACAAAGGACTGACTGTGCGAGCGAGCTCTGCTGTCTCGAGCCGTCTCGACAGGATGGAGGTATGAACAGGCACTTGAACAAGGCCAAACCCTACCCGCAGTTTCCAGAGTGGCCCCCTCTTTCGGAAAGAAGTCTTTCGCTTTGAATTGATCTGGTTCCCCCAGCAGCCTTAGAACTCATTTAACTCAAGGTTTCTTTAAAATATGAGTAGGTCTTAACACTAAAGAAAAAGCAATCGTCAAAAGAAAATTACCTTTAGCAGAAGCAGATATTACCCTCCTAACTTGATTACCAAAAGTGGCCAAATCGCATTAGAAAGGAAACTTTTTTAACAAAGATTGCCAAGTCCCAGTTGCTCACCTATATATTTGCAATACTGAATCAATAAAACTCCAAAAGAAATTGGACAGTTCCTTGAAATTTGGTTTTAAGATTTGACTCACAGAGCAAGCATACTATAACCAAAAGATCATATTTCATCTTCCAACTTGTATAATAAAATCAAGTAGCTTATAAATGGAACAAGTTTTTAGTTTTGCTATTCATATCTCCAATTTGTGACAAAACTAGTTGTGTACCAACTATATTGAATTTTTCTTGGGCTGATAAACTCATTGCATGTAAATTATTTCACTGACAGGAGTCAGTTACTAAATTTTCTTTCCAAGTTCAAAAAAGAAAAAATTAGGGTGGGGGATATGGGAATTCCATTTCAGTGCAACAAAGCAACAAGAAAATTAAAGCCTTACAAGAATGTCCTTGTGGCAATTAATCCTTTGTTGTGCAGTGAGTTTCTTGTTGCATTTCTTCATAGTTGTAGTGAAAGGACTGCGACAGCAGCCAGACGAAGTGCTAGAACAGCAGGATAGGCAATTTCTAGATGTTTCTCAAGTGTCAACTTTTCTCTTGAGCTACAGTCCCAGTTTTATCACTAAGTCTCTGCAGTTAAAACAAACAAATCAGATGCATTAGGTAAATTGAGTTATGACCAACACTTGAGGTAATATCCTCTTAATTGAAGTTGTAACTGAGATGAAATGTGTTATATACCGTTATTTCTTTTGTCTTAAAATTGGCAAGGCTACCTTCCAGTATAATATATGGACATGAATTTACTAGTAAACACTCCTAAAACATTAAATTCTGCAGTGTCCAAAAACAAGAGTAGCAGTAGGCTCATCTTAGGGACAGAACGCCTAAGGAATGACTGTGTAATTAATCCTCAAAAATCAACTTTTCCACAGAAGCAGTAACATGGTATTGTAGAAAATGATTTTATGGACTAAGAAAGTTGTGGGTTCTTGCTCCCACATTTGCTATTAGTCCTTTAAGTTTAAATATCTTTCAAAGACTGAAATCACATACGCCATTGGTTCTAGCAAGGAGGCCTGACGTGGCAGGGTACTTCGGTAAATACTACCTCTCAGCCCTGCTTTCTTCTCTTAGCTAATTAGTGCTCTATTTTTATATTTATTGTGGTTTTTCCATTAAATACATTCTGTATTGTATAATTCAGAATTAATTAATTCACTTTTTATTAGGCTGGTGCAAAAGTAATTGCGGTTTCGGACCATGAATTTTAAATCATCATAACTAGGCTCAAACATATCTTTATTAATCAAAATAGGAACCATTACAATCAACACATTTTTGCCAACAAGAAATAAGTTTGTTTATTCCTATAGCATAAAAATCTGTGCTTCGGGATTCGACAAACTCTTGGAAAGCATTTTCTGCATCCTGCTGGTTGTGGAAGTGTTTTCCCTGCAGAAAGTTGTCGAGATGCTTGAAGAAGTGGTAGTGGGTTGGCGAGAGGTCAGGTGAATGTGGCGGATGAGGCAAAACTTCGTAGCCCAATTCGTTCAACTTCTTAAGCATTGGTTGTGCAACCTGCGGTCGGGTGTTGTCGTGGAGAAGAATTGGGCCCTTTCTATTGACCAATGCCGGCTGTAGGTGTTGCAATTTTCGGTGCATCTCATCGATTTGCTGAGCATACTTCTCAGATATAATGGTTTCGCTAGGATTCAGAAAGCTATAGTGGATCAGACCGGCAGCAGACCACCAAACAGTGACCATGACCTTTTCTTGGTGTAAGTTTGGCTTTGGGAGGTGCTTTGGAGCTTCTTCTCCATCCAACCACTGAGCTGGTTGTTGCTGGTTGTCATACAAAATCCACTTTTCATCGCATGTCACAATCCGATCGAGAAATGGTTCGTTGCTGTTTCGCACAAGAAGAGAAGATGACACTTCAAAACGACGATTTTTTTGATTTTCGGTCAGCTCATGAGGCACCCACTTATCAAGCTTCTTTACCTTTCCAATTTGCTTCAAATGCCGAATGACTGTAGAATGGTCAACTTTGAGTTCTCCAGCAGCTTCTCCTGTAGTTGTAAGAGGATCAGCTTCGATGATGGCTCTCAATTGGTCGTTGTCAACTTCCGATGGCCGGCCACTGCACTCATCTTCAAGGCTCTCGTCTCCTTTGCAAAACTTCTTGAACCACCACTGTACTGTCGGTTCCTTAGCAGTTCCTGGGCCAAATGCGTTGTTGATGTTGCGAGTTGTCTCCGCTGCTTTATGACCCATTTTGAACTCGAATAAGAAAATCGCTCGAATTTGCTTTTTGTCTAACATCATTTCCATAGTCTAAAATAAATATAAAATAAACAGCAAGTAATAAGTCAAAAAGCAAGAAATGCGCATTAAAGTGATGTATAACATGACCACATTTGTAAGAATGTATTCCAGTGTCAAAAGGCAAATTTCAACACTGCTAAAACCGCATTTACTTTTGCACCAACCTATAACACAAGAAAAAACTTGTAAAAGAAAGAGGGGGAAAAACCAGTAGAAAAAATTTCTAAATGAATACAGAATCACTATAATTTCCCATGTCAGCAAAGCAAGAATGCAAACAAAAAGCATTGAAGAGTTCATGAAAAACAATCCTACCATTTGAATTCTCATAACTAAATACAAACTAAAGTTTCTGAAGACTAACTGCACGATAAACAAAACTCTCAAAGTAATGGGAAATGACAAACACTGTGACTTTGATCACTTTGACTTGCCGAGTCCCTCCTCATCTCTCCCTTCTTCCTGTTCCTGACGTCCTGTCTCCACTCTACAGCCCCATAGCCTTCCTCTAACAGGGCTCTGCCCTCCATCGGAATTTAGGGAAAAAAACATTTATACTCCAGTAAAGTAGACCTAATTAAAGGGGACAATTAATAGAAAGAAACAGCCTTAAAATGTGTGCTATTGTATGTGTAGTACACCGTTCCTGCATCCATTTTTAATTTAACTTTGTACATTGAAACGGTAAATGCTATCACATGAGATTACAGAATTTAAAATTTGAATTTCATTACAAATGTGATTGTGATTTCTTTAAAACAGTTAACTGGTAGAATAATTGGACTGCTTGTCTTAAAACGTATATATTAACTTTATTATAAATATGGTAATTCACTTTTAAAAGCACTTTGGAGCAAAATAGTAGAAATATTCCTAAATTATATAGATTGGTTCTATACCTAAACAAATTAATTGAAGCTTCTCAGAAAACACCAACTAGTCTGTGCATTGGACTGTCCTGTACGACTTGCTAACTGAAACATTTTCATTTTGACAAATGCTGAATTATAAAACAGCCTTCAAAACCTTATGTGCAAATTCAAACTGATATACTTAGGGGAGATACACATATTGGCGTAGGTCCTTTGTTTATAATATCCAGCTGCTGAAACAACTGGTTTTAAGAAGAAATGATCAGGGGAATAGTAAATTTTAAAACAGCCTGGAGCATGATCTCTGACTGATGTCGTGAGACATAATGAGGCAAACATACTTACTGTTACCTTCTGACTCGCGCCGTCTGCGTGGATGGGGAGGAACGGGTTGGCGGCCGTGTGGAGAGGGGGCGCCTGCGCACCAGCGAGGAGGTTGTTGATGGGGATCTGCGTCGGGCCGGGGAGCTGCAGTGGCTGCAGCTCGGGCTGGTGGTGCTGCTGGTGGTGGTGCTGCATCAACTGGTACAGAAAGGCCTGGTGCTGTTCCTTGGGCAAAAACAGGAGGGAGTGAGTTCCCGGGTCGGAGCAGCAGTCGGGAACGCCTGCCTTACTTAGTTTCTTTCCTTTAATGTTAGATATTTAAATGTAAGTTGCATTCACATTACTAGAAAGAAAACAAGCATCTCATCTAGAAAAATGCGCTGCACTAGATGATGAGCGTCTACTATAAAATGTCTACCAGTGAACAGCTTGTTTTCAAAACGGGGCACACAACTGTAAGAGACCTCCATGCACACCAGGCGACCCACTACGACCAAGGGGCACAGCAACTTCGACCAGCCACAGGTCATCTAGGTTTCCCTGCCTCGTTGGGTCAAACCCTTCCCCTAATCCTGTCCAGATCTGAAACAACTTTAATGTTCTCATTCATGCCTAAGAGTAAGGGTGCTTTCTTCATGTAGTTATGGACTATTCTTTATAGGAAACATATTCCATTCAACATATTTATATACTTCCTGAGTGTTTACTATGTACCAGGCACTGTTTTAGATGCATGAGACACATCGGGGCAGGGGAAGAAAAATAAACAAAAATGTTAGGATGTGATTATTGCTGAGAGCAAAGGGAAACGGGGTGGGGTGGGGTGCAAGGCTGTAATTTTAAAGAGATTGGTCAGGGCAGTTCTCGCGGAGGAGTTAACACGTGGACAAGGACTTGGAGACGAAGGACTTCCAGCCCGTGCCAGTGGGCTCCACAGGAGCGTGGACAGTGCGATCCAGGAGCAGCAAGGGAGCCCGTGGGGCGGGAACGGAGAGAGCAAGGGGGAGGCAGGAGAAGAATGCAGGGCTCACGGTGGCAGCGCACGGATACTGTGGCTTGTACTCACGGTAAAATGAGAAGCCAGTAGAAGGTTTTGAGCAAAGAAGTGACACAACCTGACTTGAGGACTTCTCGATGGAGTCAATGTGGGTGTCAGAGAGAGAGGCCTGTGCAAGGCTTGTGGCTTGAGCAGCGGGAAGGATGGAGGTGCTGTCAGCTGAGGTGAGGAAACCAGGGGTGCAGCAGGTTTGTGGAGGCAGATCAGTTCAGCTTTGGACGCGTTACGTCTGAAATGTCTTTTAAGATACGTAAGTGGAGATACTCAGCAGTTGGACAGAGGAGTCAGAAGTTCCAGAGAGAGGCCTGGGCTGAAGACTAAGTATCTTTTAACGCCACCTACGTGCTGATGAGTGAGTGGGGGAGACCACTGAGTTCTAGGGCACTCCTGAGTCGAGAAGCCGAAGAGAAGAGGGGGCCCAGGAAAGGCAGCTACAAAGGAATGACCAGTCAGATAAGGAGAAAACCAAGATCATGTGGTATCCTGGAAGCCGAGGGGACAAGGTGTTCCAAGGAGGAGGAGATGTGATTAGCTCTGTCGCATGCTGCTGCCAGGTCAGGTAAGACAGAGAACCGTCCACTTGATTTAGCAACATGAAGGTCACCCAGGAGAGGGGATAGCAAGCCAAGAAAAAGGAAAGTGACTAGTGGGGGAAGGAGAGTCCAGCAAGAGAGTTAAGGTGGAAGCTGCACCTATGCCTTGTAATAAAATTCTTGCCTCCTGCAACCTTGGCTGACAAAGGAAAAAGAGCTGTAGCCCCCTGAGTTCTCATGGTCTCTGAGCAATAATTTGTGCTGAAAATTCCTTAATCAACCAAGTTCTAGAAATGTGGTATCTACATGTACTGTTATTATTACAGTAAAATCCTGATTAACAAGAAGACACCCAGACTGAGTTTCGGTGCTTCATATTAAGATGAAGCAAGAGATAAAAAAGCAAGATCACATTTTAGTGTAAGCATTAAGAATTTGTATATAATCTATCTTTATGCCACTGTAAGAACAGTGACAATAAAAATGACCCAGATTCAAAATAAATATTTTCAATATATTTTCTTACTGAAGAAAGTACATAAATATATCTTAGAAAAAAATTACAAAGGCTGAGCCCCTGTGTTAACTGAACAATGAAATCAAGTGTGCAAGGGAGTGGGGGCTGGAGCAAAGGGGCATGGCCACCATGCACCAGAGCCACACACTGCCACCTCTGCGTGGTCCACTCTTCCCTTCTCCAAGACACCTACACTTCACATCTCCTCACTCGACCAACCCCTCCCTTGCCTCTCTGCTTAGCTGCTCTAAGCCCCTGTTGGTGCAGTGAGATGCTGCTGTCCTCTCCTCTGCTGGAAACCGTCCTCCCTCCTACACATATGCTGTCATATTCAAGATGAATAGAAACTACCCCCTCGTGCCATGTCTGTTGCTGCCCATTTCTGTTTTTTTGGTTTGTGTTTTTTTGTTTTTTTTTTTTTTTGAGACAGAGGCTCGCGCTGTTGCCCAGGCCAGAGTGCCATGATGTCAGCCTCGCTCACAGCAACCTCAAACTCCTGGGCTCAAGCGATTCTCCTGCCTCAGCCTCCCAGTAGCTGGGTCTACAGGCACATGCCATGATACCCAGCTAATTTTTCTATTTTTGGTAGAGGAAGGGTCTCACGCTCTTGCTCTGGCTGGTCTCGAACTCCTGAGCTCCAGTAATCCACCCACCTTGGCCTCCTAGAGTGCTAGGATTATAGGGTGAGCCACCGCACCCCACCCCCATTTCTCTGCTTTTTACTGTACAGTATCTTGAGCTGCCTGTAGTCCATCTTTACTTCCCCTCATCCCATTTTCTTTTCAACCATTTAATGAGGTTGTTACTGTCTAGCGCACCAGAACTGCCTTTGTCAAAAGGCTCCAGATAACCAAATCCAACGCTCAATCCTTACTTATCCTACCATGAGCATTTTACACAGTTGACTCCTCTCTTTCTGGAAACATTTTCTTCACCTGGCCCAAACACCACTGTCTCGGTGCTCCTCTTAACTCACTGGCCACTTTAACTGGCTCGCTCTCCCGTCTCAGGGCGGCCAGGGCCCAGTCCTCACTCCCTAGGAGCTCACATCGCATCTCCTGACTCTCGGCATCCCCTGTGCAGCACTGACCCCAGGCTTCGGTCTCCAGCTGTATCCTTTCCTGGGACTGCAGACTCCCTGGTCTACCTTCCACTGTGCCATCTCAACCAATGCCTCCAGTTTAGTATGCCCATAACTGAACTCCTATTTTCTCTCCAAAGCTGGTCTTATCCAGTTCTTCCAAATCTCAGTCAAAGTCAACATCCAACTGTTCAGGATTCTTTGCTTATACGTCCCACAAACAAATTTTCTTGGTTGTATCTTCAAAATACACCACAATTTCAGACAGGTTTTCACCATACAGACCACACTATTTTGAGACACCAGCATCTCCTGCCTGGACCACCACTATTGCCCCCACCTCCCTCCCAACACACAGACTATTTTCCTTACAGCAGCTAAACTAATCCTTTAAAAATGTAAATAGTTACGTTACTATTCTGTTCAAAACCCTCCAATTCTTAAAATAATCCTGAAAAACAGTGGGGAGAAGAGAACACAAGATAAACAAATTTGGATAATTATTACAGGCAGGTGATAGAATGATGAGTACACAGGACTCCAGTATACTCCAGTTTTGACATACTTGAAAATTTCCATAGTAGAAAGGATTTTTTTTAAAAAAAAAAGTCACCAATGAGTCTGGGCTCAGGGGCTCACACCTGTAATCCTAGCACTATGGAAGGCCAAGGTGGAGAGACTGCTCGAGGCCAGGAGTTTGAGATCAGCCCGAGCAAGACACCTCCCCACCCGTCTCTGCTAACATGGAAACAATTGACAGGGCGTGGTGACACACTCCTTCAACTTTCACTCAGGTCTGTGTTCCAAAGTCACCCCTCAAAGACGTGGGACGATCCTATGCATTGAGGCCATTAAATATGAAACGTCCTATTTCAAATCCAAAGTGTAATTTATTATATCTCAAACAAGCAGTACAATTAATCAAAATGCGCGCCTAAACTATCAACAGTTTTGCCATCTTAAGGGTAGCTTGTTTATGCCAGCAGGAAAGAAGTGAGAACCAGTGGCAATGAAATCTCCAAAGGCGTTTCCCACAGCTTGTTGAGAACTGAATATTTTTCCTTGCAAGAAGGTGGTAGTCAGTCGGTGCAAGGTCGAGTGGATGACAGAGTTTCCAAGTCCATTTTCTGTAGTTTCAGCAGCGTTGTCTTGCAAGAAGATTGACCTGTCTCTGTTGACCAATCTCGGCTGCTTAATCGCAAGCACAGGCATCATTCCGTCCAACTGGTTGCAGTAGACATCCGCTGTAACAGATTGACCAGGTTCATGAAGCTGTAGTGGATGATACCAGCGCCGGACACCAAAAAGATATCATTTGCTTTTTTTGGATGAATAGTCGGTTTTGGACTGTGTTTTCACACTTCATCTTTATCCAACCATTGTCCTGAATGCTTGCGATTATCAAAAAGAATCCATTTTTCATCACACGTGACGATACGGTGTAGAAATGGCTCACCTTTATGTCGTGGCAGCAGAGAAAGGCAAGCTTTGAGATGACTTCTCTTTTGATGCTCATTTAATTCACACAGAACCCATCTATCAAGCTTCTTTACCTTGCCGATTTGTTTCAAATGGTCTAATATTGCTGGAATGTCAAATCTTGCTAATTCATGTGTAGGCTGAGATAAATTTGCTTCCACTACAGCTTTCAGCATTATTATCCACCTTCGTCTCAGGTTGCCCACATAGCTCATTTTCAAGATTAAAATCACCATAATGGAACTTCTCAAACCCTCCAGGTACTGTGTGTTCATTAGCCACGTCCTTCCCAAACACTTCATTGATATTTCAAGCTACCTGCGCTGCGCTGGTTCCATGACGGAACTCATATTTGAAAATAACATGAATTTTTGACTTATCCATGGTTTCACAAAAACTGCTTCAAAAAAAATTTGAAAGATAATCACAAGCCAAAAGGTGTGTCTGAAAGACTGAGGATGTACCTTCACAATAGAGATAAGAAGTGTCAAAGTGAAATGTCAGAGATATCAACTGTCAAACTTAGTACTCGAGAAAAAAAAGAAATTGAACATTTAAAACTTAATAACCTTAATAAAATGGCCCTGATCTCTTTCTTCTGAGCATTTATCACCACCAAAAAACACGTGTTATGTCTCGTATCTCCCCTTTCACAAGGAAGCTCAGTGAAAACAGACTCTGACTTACCACACTATCACCAGGGCCTATGACAGTGTCATGACACATGTTCTAACATGTAAGTTAATGTGATGTCACTGCAGGTATCACAGACCATACCACATGACAAGGAAAATTTTGGATTATGCATTCAATACTGTTATTTCACAAAGGAATAATCTATACCCATGTTGAATATCTACTGTAGAACATCTTGCTCCTAATAAATAAATATTATCAAAAGGCAGAACTTACTGGTGTGAGCTGTTGAGAATTTAACAACTGCTGAAATTGTTGTTGATGAATAAGTATTTGTCTTTGTTGGTCAGAAAGTAATCCTAGTCCTGAGGCACTGAAAAATGATTAAAAGTCTTACTTTCTACTACATGTTTTTTTTAAAAAAAAATATGAAAGACAACTTTTCATTTTGATGTTTAATAAATTAACAAGATTTTAATCCTAACATTTTCTGAAAACAATTATGTACAAATTATTTCTCTCTATATATTCATATATACAGCTAAGAATTCACATTGTCAAGAAATGTGTTCCTTTTTATTATTAAACAGGCACGAATTTATTTTATGGAATAGAAATCTGCATGTGTTTATAACAAGCACAGTTAATAATTTAAACTGACACTAAGTAAACACATATTTAAAACAAAGAATTCAAATATGCTAATTGATTTGACCTAACCTTTTTTAATGGTCCCAATGGCAAAATTAAGAACCAATGAAAAGAGAGCCAGAGGAAATAGGACCCACTGCAAATCCACTGAAAATTATTTATTCCCCAACAGTATGTTAATAACAACATGGCTTTAGTCCTCTAATTTTTGAACATGCAAACAGAATTCGAGTACAATGAAGCCAGTGAGTCTCACTTCCTAGAAATTAAGACAAATATTTGATCTTTATCCTATATCAAAATCTTTGATTAGAAAGTTAAAAAATTACATAGTTGAATTTTAAGAAGCCAATTTTTTTTTCCCCCCAGGGATACAGGGGTCTCACTCTGTCACCCGGGCTAGAGTGCAGTAGTGATGGACAGCTCACTGCGAACTCCTGGGTTCAAGTGATCCTCCCGCCTCAGCCTCCCAAGTAGCTGGGACTACAGGCGTGAGCCACCACGCCCGGCTAATAGAAACCAATATTCATATGTGATCCTCTACACACTATTACCTTTCTTCAGAATTTATGATAAATGAATGGAAATAAGAGAAATCAACATTTAAAAATAGACATCAGAGATCAAGACTGAAATTTTCAGCACAGAATGTACTTAATGCTCTGTTACTAAAAGCAACTTACTTTTGTTTTAATCTAAATTAAGTTTTAAAAATATAGCCTGGGTATAACATATGTAGTTTAAAATTCAGGGTAGATTTTCTTTTCTTAGGGATTTTTAATGTGTTTCTTGTAAATGTACTCTATCTGAAGCATAGACAACACTGGTTGCACTAAAATATATTTAAGTAAGTTTCTTACCTGTTAGTCAGTGTAGCTGGCATTGGATGTGTCGCATTAGGTGGCACAGTGGTGTGCGTGAGAGGGGTAGGGTTCTGGGATATTGTGACCGGGGTCTGCATAACCCCATTCAAAGCGCCCACAATGCCATTAATTGCCAGTTGGTTACCTGGCAAAGCTCCAATTATTCCACTCATTGCAGACACGGCAGGAATAGTGGAGGTTACAGTCTGCATTCCACCAGCCAGTGCCCCCACTGTCACACCGTTGACCTGCTGAACTCCACCAACTCCTGAGCCTTGCTGAGCCGGACTCTGCCCAGCAGGAGGTGGAGTAGAAAGAGCCGATGAACTGCTGGTGCTTTGTCCACTGGAGGTTAAGTCCTAATGTAAGAAGGAATAGACACTTAAGTTGTAAAGAACATGCAAAAAACTGTTCACAATAATTTTTAAATCATTTAAGGTAATATATTATTGTTCACAAGTAAAACACACAAATGAAAATACACAAAAATTACCTGATTTAATACAGGAAGAGAATTATCAGGTAAAAAGCTGTTTCCTATATGAGGGCTCTTACTGCTATTCAAGGAATCAGTGGTAGGAGCTAGAGTAATGAAAGGCAGAAACCGATTTACCTTGTTAATTACAATATGTGTAATTAAAAGTTTATTTAAAAGCTTATGCTGAAGCCCATACCGAAACCACGTAAGTCTTGCTATTCCTAAAACCAGTTTAAATGGAAAAAAAAAAATCTCTCTATTAAATACCATAGCTTTAAATCAATAACAAGATCATTACTCATTTAAATAAGTTTGACCATTAAATTACATACTAAAGAAGTGATGAAATTCATGTTCATCACTTAACAGGATTCTTTACGCCCTTCAAAAATAAGCTGTCATTCCTTTTCTACATCTTCATATAACTGGTGACCAATTATTACTTACTATGCAAATGACGTTGACAGTCTATCCGATACAAAATAAACATTTTCATACTTACCAGTCTGTGCAGAAAATGCATGTATTTGATGAGACGGACTAGGATTTGTTGTTATTGTTGGAAAAGGCACTGAAAGCTGTGCATTCAATAACTGAAGACGTTCCTTTTTGGCAGTCAAGTTTTTAATTTGTTCCTCTAATCTTCGGTTCTCAACCTGAAGTTGGTGTAATGACTTCAGCATTCCTAAAACTAGCAAACATTTGGATAGTTTTTAATAAAGACAAATCCACACACAGGACTAAGTATTTTACGGACATAGTGTCAGTAACCTTAGAAATAAGTTAAAATAGAAAAGTAGAAATTCTATAAAATAATTAGGTTTTATTCCTAAATTTATATACCAATATTAATGTCATATTTACATTTGTACTTTAATAAGCATAAGAGAGATTGTTCCTAGATGTGCTTTCTGGAAACTTTGTTGATACATCCAAAAAAATATACACCAGGTTCAGGTAATTTCCATTCTCAAAAAAAAAAAAAATGACATTTTGTTTTCATTAAAACAAAAGCCTAATTAAAAATTCAAGCGCCTGCTATGATTTCTCATTAAAGTCATATTTACAATGGGAAAGGGTTGCACAAATAGCCTTTACCACAATAAGCGGCACACGTTTTTATGTGTTGCTCCGTTTAAACTAAGCATGGCCATCAGACACCTGGCAGGAAGCCTGCAGTTCCAGCTGCTCACTATGTTGCTCTGCAGGGCCCCCAGCAGGGAGCGCTGTGTGTGCACCCGGCCACCTCTCTACCAGGGAAAGGCGCAAGGTCTGTAAATATAGGCTGACTTTACGTTCAATTCCTTCCAAGACTTGCAGCTCCCAACTGACAACAGAGCGTTGCTGTTAGGCCACAGTGATGGACGCTTTAAAAATTCTACATACTAAAAAGTTGTATTTGCTTAACGTGACCTCAGGCCCTTCGAAAGACACAACTCCATTGGTACAGACACACATGGTCACTTCCCAAGGATTTAACTTTTATCCCTCCTTTCCAAGATCCCACAAAGAAACCTTAGAGTGCCCAATAAGACTAAGCTAAACCTGTCCTCCAGCTATCATGTTTAAAGGATTATCACGGCATGAATTTCCTCACAATTAGCATTTTCTGTCAGGGTGCCATTCATAAAAATACCAATTTATGGCACATGGCTCACTAACAATAAGCAAACTGTTTTAATGAAATAGTTTATATCCCAAAATGATGAAAACCACTTATATTCCCCTAAAAACATATCTCCTTAAGGCCACTTCTCTAGGTAACTACCACCTGTTATAACTCCACTTTTTTGGTATTTTTCACCCATGGCCCTAATACTTAAAATCGTAAAGATACTAAACATATGCACACACAATATATAGCATATAATTTAATAAATATAAGCATATATTATATATAACTTAGTAATTATTATTCCTCCTCCAAATTGTAAAATTAAGAAACTAGCTGGCCATGCTTGACTATATTCATGTTTTTAAATCTTTAGAGGTAACCAAGTTTTCTTCAATTAAGCTAAGAGAAGATAAAGCTCACATATTTTAGTAAATTGATAAGAACAAAGTACAATGGAGAAACAAAGTGCCAATATTATAATAATTGTAAACAATAACCACCTAACAGATGCACTTTATGAGAGACAGGCACTGTTTTTTACTTTTCATTTAATCATCACAACAATCCTATGATTATAGGTACATTATTACTCCCCATTCTACTACAAATGGGAGACTAAAGAACTTTAAGAAACTTGCCCAAGATCACACTGTTAGTAACAGGCAAAGACAGGATTTAAGTCCAAGCAGTTAACACTATACTATAGAATCTATGAAACCCCTACATACACTTTCTCACCCATACCATATAGAATGCATACCAAAATTTCATTACTATTCTGGATGAAAAGTGACTTCTGCATCCATCTGCCTATCTGTTCATCCATCCACCCATCTATCCCTATCCATCCATCCACCATTATTTAAAGATAAGGAAACATAACTTACTGTCACTAGGAGTACCCTGTTCTAGTAAAAACTGCTGTCCTTCACTCCACTGCCGCTCCAAAAGCTGTTCTATGCTGGCTGCCACTGGAGGCAGATTTTCCAAACTGCTGTTGCCCGGTTGATCATAGCGAATCTGTAAGCTGCTTACAGGGGATCTGTTGAAATCATTAATACTCAAGTTAAAAAGAAGGGGAATGCTTTTAAGGAGAGTGCATTAAAGTTTCTTACTTCACACTGACCTCTTTTTCCTGTACAAGTTTTCTAATACCAGGCTGCCCAGGCCAGAGGTATCAGGTTCCTGGGTTTACAAAACCATAATCTACCCTAAAATTGAGTAATTATCATTCTTCCTCCCCAAATTATAGAATCAAGGGAATAGCTTTCTATAATAGATAATTAAAAACCACTAGAAAATATAAACACACCACCAATAATCTCTGAAATAGGCTACAAAAGAACTTGGTATGTCTTTATAAGACAAAAGGGAGAAAGACAAAGTCAGAAAGACTTTAAAATAATTAGCCAGAAAAGAGTCCTACCATTCTGCCTCAACATATATGACATCAGAACAACACTGTACAGTTATAATACTATGAAAGGCATTTGAATTTAGCCAGTAAAATCTCAAATATCAGTAAAAAAAATTTTTGACAATTTTGAAGCAGTTTGTTATAAATTCAAAATTACTTATTTTCAGTATTAAAGAACATTAAGATCAAAGCAAATTTTATTTGAGCCCCTTATATAAGTATTTCTAAAATGTCTTACATCTGTACCTCAAATGATAATCACTCAATCAACCTTTCGGAAACAAACAGTATTTGTATGAAGAACACGTCATGTTCTCTCACCCAACTTTTTGTTTTAAATTAGTAAATGTGGCCATTTCTGGTCTGCATCCTTCACCTTAACATAATACATTAGTAAAGAGCTTTAGAGTTTTCAAAGTGTTTGTACATAATTATCTCATGATCTTCCCAACAACCCAGTGAGAAGTCAAAAGCTGATTTATTGGCTCCATTTCCAAACGAGGAAACAAGATGGGCTTTAGTGATGTGTCCAGAAACACACTGCAGGTAAATGACAGGGCTGGGGCTGCACTCGGGTCTTCTAATGACCCAACTGGTGTTCTTGCCACTGCTGCAATATGCTTCTACACAAAAACTTCTGTACGTAAGAAGCTATACAAATGGAGTTTTTTATTCCACGTGTAGACACCATGTGCTATGTACACTTGGCCATCCTTCTGCAAATAGTACATTATGCCAGGATAATTTAGGCTATTGCATTTCAGGCTGATTTTTAAAGGGTAATATAAAGTTGGAAATACATGCTAAAAATAATTTAATACCATTTATTGTGTTAACACCCAATAAAAAAACAAAAAACCAATACTAAGCAAAATAGCACTAAGGAATTTTGAATAATTTCTGGGTAGGTTGTGTGATATTTTAAGTTTAAAAGGGAGACAAATGCTTCCTCCACTAAACATATAAGGAAAAATCCATTAACTTTCTTCTTAGAAAAGAAAAAAAACATTATGGAAGTAATCACGACATAAAACCACAGACTGGTCAGATAATTTTATCGTTGTATATACTTCAATTCCTGGTTTCCAAAGAAGGAATAATTTTCTGCAGGATTCAATAACGAAAAACAATACAGTACTTCTACTTCACCCAGGAATTACAGAGGAAAAAGGAACTACTAGATGTACCATTAGAAAACAGAAAAACTGGAGGTTACCAGACTAATCTCCACAATGGTAAAGAAGATGTTCCTTAATAGACATTCCTCAAATATCAGCAACACAGCTGATATTCATGATTTGTTGTCACATAAAAATTTTAACAGCATTTCTCCCCTACTTGAAAAAAAGACCGCAGAATGGGCTTTTCCTCCTGCTCTGTATTTCAGCCTAACACCATGCTTGAGGCAGAGTTTACAAAACTAGAGAGCACAGAGAAAACAAACTACAATAAGGTACAGAAGTTGAAAAGGTAAAATAAAATTAATGAAAAGATAGTCATCACTAAAGTTACATTCTCGTCTATAAACTGATACCATACCATCATTCTCCCCACTTAGAACAGAAGGAATAGAGTTTCATAACCCCAAATTTATTAATAAATTATATTTCAATAAATGGTACCTGAATGCTATCAGGTACCATATCTAAGATAATTTCACCAAGCATGTAATACATTTGCTATACTCTGATTCAAACAATTTAAGATCTAGTGGGATTTCAAGATCTGACTACAAGGGCTTCATCACTGAATTAAGAACTAGACAGTAAGTGCGTTGCCTACAACTGAAACCCAAAGTTGAAAGTCTTGGGTCTGCAGCTTTTAAGAGACCTTAAGACTATTTTATGTTCAAAAATAATTACTCAAATCAATGCATTAATAGTACCAGCAGCTAAATATACAAATAATAAAGAGAGTTCAAAGTGATTGCAAACCTATGAAAAAGTATTCATTTTAGCTTAGAAATCTAATCGTGTGTTTAAATTAATATTCAAATTTAGAATCATTTTTCTTGATTGTCTAGACATGCTTCTTATCTACAGAATGCTTTTATAGCTTCACGAATGTATACTCTACTGATAGGAGATGATAAAGTTTCCAAATCTCAGAATGTTTCCTTTGCCTATACTTTGCAGTGTAAATAGCGCTTACCGTGGTGAGAGACTTCCTCGGGGTGAGCTTCCTCTGCCAACTAGGCTACGGCTATTGTCTCCAAGATCTTGATCTGCAGTGTAAATATTTCAGAGCTGATAAAGTGACTCTCACTAGATAAGAGGTTTTAAACTCTTGTTCTGATTTTTCCTAAAACACACATTAAACCTTTACCACTATCTTTGCTGTTACTATGAAAGTAGAAGATCTAGTATGTTGCTAGTTTAGAATTGCTGAACTGTGGCATGTAAGGCGTTGTCCCTACATGTTTTTTGTGGGTGTAGACGGCCATGGATTATGTTCTATTCTTTCATTCCTTTCAATTTTACAGCACAGAAGCATGGTTTGCATTTGCAGTACCCTCCCCTCAGCCACTTTTAATTTCTACGGTTAAAGTAATGAATCACAGCTGTGGACAGCTAATCTGTATGCTTATCACAGCAAATCCTTATGCTTTGTATTTTTTAACACTTTGCATCCCAAGACAAGTCATAAAATACATTTATATAGAGCCACACACCAAGATTAAAATTATATTGTTAGATGGAGCCTCACATCAAGAATAAAACTACATACAACACTGATTTTCCAAATTGACAAAAACAAGTAGGAATATAGAATTCTGTATTTAAAAGGAAAAAAAATTAATTCTTCAAAATATTCCTTAGGTAAATTCCAGCTTGAAAAGTAACTGCAGTTAGTTCCTTATAAAATCACCCTATCTGGCCTCTTTCAAGGTTGTCCTCCCCTTATTCTGAGTCAGGTAACCTCTGACCCTTGAAGGGTAAAGACAGACTGATCCATTCTTGGTGAACTGCTAAACCCATTCCCTTCCCCCAAACAGGCATGACTACTTGGACATGTCAACAAATCCTTAAGGATGGAATGAAACAAAGCAAATCCAACAGCTCATTAAAACAGTACAAGAGGCAAATGCTACAAAATGTCAACTGGTAAAAATTCACAGGATTACTAAACACTGTAGAAGTTCTCTAACAGGATTTTTTTAACCAAGTTTGTGTAATGCAATTTCATGAATTATGCAAATAAAGGTTTAGGCTATTCACAGAAAAGCCCAGTGTTATGTTACTTTCATTGCACAGAACTGAGAACTGAACACATCAATCACAAAAGTCACAGGAGACATTGTTGCATTCCTGCCTGCTGATGGCTCTGCTTAAACATTTACATTTCAGACAGTAAAAAAAGCACATCACTATTTTGCAGCACAGCATCCTATTTACTTCCAACTGTGATTCTTTTTTCATTGTAAATTGACAATTTATAATTATATAAATTTATGGGGTACAAATTCATGTTATGATTTATGAATATAATGTGAAATGATGAAAATCAAGCTAGTTAACATGCCCATCACCTCAAATACTTAACATTTTCCAAGTGTGATTCTTTTGGTTAAAAAAAAAATGCAAACCTATTTTAACTATACTCGTAAGAGTATAGTTATTTTTATTTCAAATAAAAATAAGCCAAGGGGGGGAAATTATATTGGGGGAGAGCAGAATTTTACAGTTTAATAATTCTTGAAAACTTACCTGTTTGATTGCTTTCAGACTGAGCTATAAGAGCTGCCACTGATGAATTTGGATTTAATCTATTGCCATACATATGAGATGGTGCCTGACTAAGAGAAGATCCAGATAGGGTATTTGCCTAAATGAAAGAAATCACAATGATAAATCGATTATATTTGAAAATATCTTCATATTTTCCTTCCTAATAGACCTCATAAGTGTATTCTCCAATCTAAGAATATAAGCAAAAATCCCTAACTTTATGAAAAGCAAATTTCATCCTTGTTTTACTATTTCAATATGTAAATTTTTGAAAGTTACATAACTACAAATTAAAAAGACTGGCACATTCAAAGTTAACTATTCCTGCTTTTAATTTTCAAAGTATCTAGTCGATACCAAAACCCAGTGGCATGGTAACCATGTGGACATACATCTAATTATTTAATCTTATTAAACCATTTAATAAAGTGAAGGCAGGTAGACAACAGATGTTTAACAAATGCTTCAGTCTCTTACATCACAAGCTGGCGAAGCAGGTCAAAAGGTCCAACTTCTATTTCTAGTATTTTAACTACACATAGCCATATTTCCACTGCTTAACTCTGTCATTAGTAAAACCTGCACACTATTTTGTTACTTCCTATTTTGATAGACTTGGAAGCCTGCTGCTTTTTCTGTTTTGTTTTGTTTTTATTTTAAAAGAAAGCAAACAGGCATCACAAGTATGTTTTCTATACAATGCAGGGCTCAACGAATCACAGCTTTGCCCTGACCCCATATAAGGCACTGTCTTTTTGGCAGCAAGCCAGCTCTACTAACTGAAGAGCTTGCCCAAAGTTTGTAATTCATTCATGTTGCTAACCACAATTCTGAAGGCCTCTACTGGGACCTGTGCCAAACAAGCAAAAATGAACCCTTAAACAGATGAAGCTCAGGAGGCTGGCCAAAGTATTGCGTAATCCAATGTAATAAAAATGCCTTCTTTGATGTGCATATTCTCTCCCACTTTCCAAGAATATTATAACCTTAAAATGTGGCATTTTGGAAGCAAATCTCTTGTACACAAAATACTGTTACTCACAGAAGGCTATTACTAGCCTGAAATAATTTTCAGATTTAACAGAACCACAAATTTTTAAGTAGATTTATTCTTTTTCATGAATGAAATCAAACTGAAGCTTTTATAAAATGAAATCATTGCATAGTTACTTCAGAACAAAACTCTTAAAAATACCTCCAAAGAATTGAAGCACTTCTAATATAAAGAAGCTGAGTAACAGCCAAACAAAAGATGGGGGACATTCTGACATGTGTAACTGCACACAAGAGACTGAAATGACACAGTAGTTGCAATAGGCAAAATATTATAGAGAATAAACTGTGTTTCTGGGTAGACGCATATCTTGACACTATATGTTGGCCTTGAGCCAACTTATTAAGCATGAAAAATGTACTTTTATAATTTACAGAAATAGTCTCCATGATGTAGAATCCTGTCCTTGCTTTGAGTTGTTACAAAGGGTGTATTTCATAGTTCACACTTTAATGTGTAAATTCAATCTGTCAATTTCTGGGTTTCATTTTTCCTTTCATTAAAAATATGCATACAAAGTCTATAAGTTTGTACTATAAAGTCCTGTTTAACCATCAATTAGCCCTCAGTTTAAAGTATGTTATAACTTCAAACTAAAGCTCATACTGGACACTTAGAAGTCAACTCTTTGGGAATCTTAGCTACTCACAAAATAATTGAGAACAATACAAATAAACCAACAGAAAAACCAGATGTTACCAGTTCCATGTGTTAATGTCTCAGATTCTAATACTTAAAAAATGCCTTTCTCAGAGCCAATTTACTTACTCTAGATACTATTCTAGAAAGATCCACCAAGCTTGTAACAGATTAGAAGTGGAAAATTCATTAGAAGGAGGAAGAAAAAGTAGTATCTTAAAACAGTTTGTTGGCAGCAAGAATTAACAGCTGACAGCAAGAAAAGGGAGAGACAAATATGATTAGGAATGAGAGCACAGGACAGAATGCTGGTCCTCAAAGAATAGGTACCACTAAATGCCTTAGCACGTGCAAAAGCAAGGAAACATTCTTAGCCTTCTGACTCCTTTTTCATGCAGTCATCTATGTTATACGTTACTAAATCATATTTTATCAGTTGGAATACCTTCTTTGTTCCAATTATCAGTCTCATGAATTGCCTTAGTCTCTTGATAAGAATCAGAAGATCCAACTCTTACCAGAATATACTCTTTTTGGGGAAGGGTCCCTTCTGCCAAAGGCTTTATATTTATCCTTACTAGCTTCAAATTTCAGAGTGGCATTTTCTTTATCAAGTCTCCACATTATCTTATAATCCTATAATCCACTAGAACCACTAGGTACATATTAAGACCAAAATATAATAGAAAGCAATATAATGTAATGACTAATCTGCTAATGACTATCATCAGAAAGAGGAAAAAGGATCCTTAGCGCACTCAAGGCATAAAAGTATGTATTTTAACCTAAAATGGGAATACTGTCCTAAATGACCACTTTTCTAAACTGGATGGCTAAAAAATACCTGATAGTTGCTTTTCATTTTTTTAAAAAAATTACTACATTTATCTAAACCAGAAACTTTCAAAAGAGAAATAAAGTTATTAATTTTGCCAGACAGAGTTATTTTGATATATTAAAGCATCTAAACCAGTCTACATTAATTGCTGCTGGAAAACTCAAATCATGAACATCATTTTAAAGTACTAAAGACTCCACAAATGACTGTCACTGCTCAGCCAATACTCTGAAATAATTCTGGGAACCCTTTATGAACCTTTCTGTTGGTGCCTCCAGGCCAAGAAACTCCATGTTTCAGTGAAAAGGTACCATACCTTGGCAGAAAAGATGGAGAAGCAGGAAAGCTGGAAAAAGAAAAATGACACTGAAGAGAGCACACAGTGCCTGGCATTTCACAGACTCAAAAACCTTTGTTGCCAGTAACAAGTGAAAGCACTAAGATTCAGGGGGATGGAAGGAAGTCCATATTAGCCTAAAGAAATAAGGGTTATGAAGCATAAAGGGCCCTGCAAGCTTTTATAAAAAAGTAATCTGGAGCAAGAATAAGGGAAGCATTAACATACATACACTTTTCTACAGCACACTTTGGACACGGATTTTCAAAAGCACATTGAAAGCAAATTACTAATGTACCTTAAGTCGGCAGATCTGCTAAAAAGACTAGAAATTCTTTTTGGACGGAAGTTCCTATCTTATGACATTTCAATCTTAACCTGCCCAGGTAAGGAGAATGACTATTGTGGACAGATATTCCCCTTGGATCTACTGGCGCTATAGGAATATGAGTTGTCAACAACAAGGGAGGCTGAGTGAAGGAAATTCACAAATACGTAACTTTCTGTACCGTTCTTACATCTTTTCTACACATTTAAAATTATTTCAAAATAAGAAGTTAATATTGCCATAATAAACTTCTGCTTTAATTTGCAATATATGCTACCTCAAAAAGGATTTCCTCCCTCACCCAAGATTAATAATAGGAACCACTTCCACTCAAGATGCTATATAACATTTATTTTAACACTCTAGTAAAAACCTCACTAAGTATCGTTATTTTACAAGATGAATCCAAAGACCAGTAGATCGAGAATAAATTGAATAATTAACAAGGTAAATCTAAGTCACTTTTAAACAAAATATGTTTAGGTGTCCAAGTTAAAGAATATCCTTAACAAATTTAGAGTAAGTTAATATTAAACATCTACCCAAAAAATGTAAGTCTCTACCAAGGCAGTATTCAAAATCAAAACAAATTAGAGAAACTTAGTATTTCCTAAGTAGACTGACATACTATACTAAAATATTAACAAGATTCAAATTATATTTCAGCTTAAAATATCTCCTGTTATTAACAGTTCACCTCTTACATTTCAAATGTCTGCTTATGACCACAGAGATGTTTCAAAAAAGAGCTTAGTTATAAAGTAGTAACTCTATCAAATACCTAGGCACTTGGTTTATTCTAAAGGAGTTAGCTGTGCGGGGAAAAAAGTTAGGCTAAGTTTACTCAATATTGATATAAGACTTAAAAGTGGGTTTTGTTTTGGTAGATTGTTTTCCTCCTTAATGTTGAAAAAGGCAGAAAAATGAAGAAAATTTAGGTTTGAAAAAATAGCACCTATGAAAACACCTTTCGAAGTATCATAGCAATGTATCATCTAGAGGTGGATTGAAGCTTCGTACTTCAATCATACAGGAACAGGTTATAGCAAGCATTTTTTTAAATGCACAATTAACCTGTCAATAAACCTTAAAGTCAAATGATTCAAACACGCTCTAAAATGCAGTAGTTTCTTCCTCAAGCTTTCTAGCTCTGACACATGATTTAAAAATGCATTCTTCCAAAATCTTGTCAGACTCATTAAGTTGAGTATTTATTCTTTAAAATTCTTGATTCATATGTATTTTTAGGAGAAAAAACTTTTTACTGTCACTGTATCTACCACAAGTCAAGCTGTCTCACCGTAGGGCAAGTCACTAAACCTCTCTGTTCTCAATTTCCATCTATAAATGGGGATAATAACAGCATCTACCTCATGAGAATATTGTTGAGAATTAACTGAGTTAATGTATGTAAAGGGTTTAAAAGAACACTCAGCACATGGTAAGCACTCACATTTTAGCTTTGTAATTTTAAAATTCATTCTCATAAGCTATTGTAGTTTCTATTTTTCCATTAACTTCATGAGAAAATATAATTTACCAATTATATTCTGAACAATGTGGCTGTATTTCAAAAAATGAAATGTTTCTCTAAGAAAAATTAGATAGTATAAACGCCTCAATATGCAGTGATATTTTAATCCATATAATCTATATATTTTTTATAATAGCATAGCAATAATGCAAATGTAAGAATTCAGATGTTTTTAGATATAATTTATACATTTTTGAATATACAAACACAGTATGTTTGACCAGGAAAGTTTCCAGGAAAAATATGAATGAACATTAGGTGGGGATTGGAGAACAATGCAAAGTTTCATATATTCTCCAGTTCAATTCAAACTTTATGTTTACTATGAAACATATTCTGACTGCAGACCCCATTTCTATGTCAGCTACCACCAGTAAGGCTTTAATACTCAGCGTGTGATGAGAGATGAAACCAAGTGTGAACAACTTTCAGGTCCCATGAGCAGGCTGACTGTTGAAGCTGTCAGGTTCAATTGCATCATTCTACTTTATTCAATGCCCCAAACCGCTCCCTAATTGTTAGGGGCTTAACGTATTCAAAACCACTGTTTAGGTTAATGCTGAAATGCCCCACAATTGAGTTTCCATAAAGTAGGAGGAGGGATTAAAGTGTAGTTAAACCATCACTGAACACTCATGATTGGACAGCAGGACTGTACAGATTAACCAACGAATTCTAAGCAGGTTTTTCAATTGGTTAATAAGTAATCAATATATCTTTTACCTTTTGGAGGAAAATTAAGTCTCTAGGACAAAGGTGGCAATTGGAATAATTTTAGAACTAGAAATAATTGAAATAATTTTCGAACTGGAAAAGACCATAGCTGAACCAGATATGGCTAAAATTCATACATCTGCTTTAGCATGGAAGTAAGAATTTTAACAGAAAATGTTAATACTATTTTTAATAAAGGAAGTATTTCTGTACAACAATTTCCTTTCTCACTAGTAATCAGGTTGTTCCTGTAAAGTTGAAATTAATAACAATTAATTCTAAAGTACTTTATGGTCTGCATTTGAACTTGTAACATACCTATATAGCAGGTAAAATAGGTACTTAAAAGATTCCCATATTACATATGAAAAAACTGAGGCTCATAAAAATTTAAAGACCTGCCCAAGGTCACACTAGTGAGTAGCAGAGCTCCTAGAACCCAGGACTTTTCACTCAAATTTCTGCTGTTTTGCATTGCATTACACAAATAGACACAGTAAAATTCCTAAAAATGTTTTCCAAAGAGCTACTTCTTAGTATATAAGATGTATGAAATTATAATAAGAAATTCATTTTTATAATAATATTAGTAATTAGGGAGCAGGCTAAGGAGTCAGGCTATCTTGATTCCTTAGTTCTACAGCTTACCACATGTGACCCTGTGCTGTGACTTAACCTTTTCATCATCCAATAGCAAGAGATACTATAAAAGTTATAAAAACTTATTTGTTCAGAAAGGTAACATTTTTAAAATTATAAGCCATTATGAAATTATTTATAAGTGATAAAACTTTCATTCTGTCTTGTGATACTTCACTTCAAAAGACAAAAAAAGAAGAAAAGATTTGTCTATATAAAATAATTTATAAAAAACACAAACTTTCATTTTGACTAATCAAGTAAAAATCCCCCAAAGTCAGTTCAATGGGCCTGGGAAACTGAACCATTTTCTCAAATAGAATTTAAATGTCCTTATTAGAAATCATTTGAAAAGAAACCAAAGACTATGTCTAAGACAACCTCCACCCCACTCCTCCCCCGTAACACACACGTTATAATACTGCAAAACAAAATGTTCAAAGCTGATTGAAGTAAAAGTGCCACAGGAATCTGCAAAACTCTAGTCACTAAATTGTACCTTAAAAATACTGAAATATCTGCATTTACTAAATATCACGTAGATAAACCTTGGAAGTTTATTTAACCTTAAATGATGTTTAAACCTGTACCATTTCTTATAACAGTAACATGGGGTAATAGGACAATGAACCATGATTATCTACATGAAGACTGTATCTAAAAGCAAAACTCAGAATGCAGGATATAACAGAATGCAATTACTGTTCATCATATTCAGTTTTAAATTCTTCTATTAAAGAAATCATCCTTCAAACAAAAGCACTAGCATTCTCCCAAAGACAGAAGAGAATGAATGTAGAACTGGAAAACAGTGGGATTTGAAAGGCAAAATGAAAAATTAATGGCACTCCTACAGAAACCAATTTATACCTCTATTCCTGATCCAACCAGGGCAGAGCACATCATTAACAATTACAAGGACAGGAGTTCAGTCTTCCAATAATGTTAAGGAACTATAATTGTAACTATATTATTGCTTTACTAGTATGTAGTAACTTTATTGCTGATATACTAGTATGTAGTAAAGTAGGTTTTCTATCAAAAATTTGTGAAAGAACAATTACTCTAAAAACAAGTATATCAAATAAAACAAAAAGATTTAACTATTAAGAATATAAAACAGGTTTAACAGTTTTGTAAACGGTTTTCCCCTAAAATTTGTGCTAAGCCTCAGATTTCCCCACTTCCCCATAATTTTTGTAAGTATCTCCTTGTCCCCCCATTAAAAGCACAAATCAAGCTATTCTCAGTTTTTAATTACTGTTAACTCTTCCTATCTTTCCTCCCTGATCACTTTCCACAGACAATTCTTAAGACAGCAAATAAACCAAAGTAGGGGTCTGTTTATGTTACTTAACATGAAGGTTAAAAAGAACAAAAGTGACCTCTGGATTTTTATCCTGTTGGCACCAATCCAGTCACTAAAAATTACTACCTTCATTAAATTGGGGGGAGAGGGTGAGAGGAAGGAGCAAAACATTATTCAAGTTAAATATTTCTATTCTCTATTAGTATATAAGAGAATTTCTATTCTCTATTAGTATTTTTAAAGTGTTTGCTTGCTAACGTGATGGGTTTTTTAAAAATAATTATGACAAGACTTCTAGAATTACATTTTAAATATTGGTGATTTTAATTTACCCACTTATTGCATCACTTTCATTTTAAATCAACTACTTAAAGAGCAACCCTAAATAAAAGGCTAAGATGTGACTAAACACAATGAATTGTATGGTTTGAAAACAAACAGGGCCTATATGAGAGTAAAACAGAAAAAAACTTTGCCATTTTGAAACAAAGATTCAATCGCCAAGTGCATCCCAATTTTAAGAGTCCTATCAATTCCATCTAAATATTTTTGTACCTTCCTCCACACACTGCCTAGAAAATTTCACATTTTTCGCATTCGATACCATTACTACTGTCTTAGGCAGCTAAATTGAAGTAGTTCTGCACTCAGTTCAACGGAGAGGTCAACGTGCCTCAGTTGCCTGGAGACTGATGGTTGCTACAGCAGCACCAGATAAGCCCACTAAATAAGCTTCAGCTTGAAGGCAGAAAGCATTTACTGCGGGACAGAAACACAGATGCAGGTGTCTCAGCATGCAGCATTTGACTCTAACTGGATGATCGTATTTAGAAGAGACCCATCTTACTGAAACATGGAGAGGGGAGAAACAGTAAAGATTTTAATTGGACTGAATCCTGGATTACTTATAACTATGATTTCTTTGTTCTTCAGTTGAGTCACATGTTAAGTGGAATTTTCCCTCGAGCTATAAATTTCTCTTCACCACCATTTCCCCATCCACCTGCCTAATGCCAACTCCCTAACCCACAAATATAATGAATGAGAAGAAATGAGATTTTTGCTTAATTCAGCCGGGAATTAACCAGAGAGTAATTAAAACAGATTTTTATAAAGACAGAAAAGAAAAATGCATGTTTTCATGTGCGACTTTGTCCAAGGATATAAAGTTATCAACAGCATATGGCTACACTTAATTAAAAGAGATAAAACTATTTATAAGAGCCATTCTTTCATTTACCCTTTCACCCTCTCCAATACCAAACTCCTGTTTTTATGGGCTACCTTACTTTTCTAGTGAAACGACTATCCCAAAGCAGTCAAACTCTCTTTACGCAGGTTGAGAGGTTCACTAGTTAACTTTCATCTTCAAAGATCATACTACTAATCATACCATTGATTTTTCTGTGAACTGTCTGTTGTTCATTCTAGTAATAATAGTGACTGCTTGCACTGCACCATTAACACACACACACATCAAAAATAACGTAATGCACTGTGTTTTGATGTACAGCTCACAGAAAATACTGAAAATCCATATATATATGTTCTAAAGGCCCATACAACAGAAATTATACACATACATAAAGCTCAAGTTTACAGCAACTTACAAGTAACTACTGAAGTCCTTATTTGTAATTAGACATTTGTCACTGTCACAATTTTCTCAAACATTAAAAGACTACAAGAACTTTGGAGAAATGAAAATAAAACTATAAAGAATTCCTAATAAATAAGAAATACACGCTTTGGAAATTATTACCACTGGGGAAGGGGTGTGGAGGAGGGAAATGTGGTGTACAAACTTTATCCATGTACTGTCATGTTTATGAAACTCAAGATTATGATTTTTCTTATTTGACTCTTGCTTTTAAAACATTCTAAAGATTAGGTCACCCATCAAACTACCAATTTAAAGTGAAGTCAAAGGGGTTGTTAACCTACATATTCACCACTATTTACAGTATTTATGGATATGTGTTCTCTCCCACCGGGAGGAAAATCACGTAGCATACATGAAGGGATCTTCCACTGTTTATCCTGTATTCTCTTAAACTGGTTTTTAAAAATTTCAGACAGCAGATTTTCATGTATTATTTGTGTGATTTAAAAAATTATAAAAGGAATTATAAAAATCACAAGAGTCCAAAACCGGTTCATACTTTGTGAGTCCTAATTTCTTAAAGGAAGAATAAAAACTCCCCTTGAAATTACTATCTTACATTATTAGGATAAAACTAGAAACCCAGAAATTGAAAAGAATCAGTTGGTGCCCACACACTCATCTGTCCTCTCTGATGAATATTACATGAAAATGTCTATTATTAATATTTCCACTAACGAATTGAGGTTATTTCATAAATTCCTACAGGAAGGCCTATTTCATATATTTTTCTTCTGACCAAACTCACTTAAAAAAAGGAGCGAGAAACCCATCTACTGCACGGCACGGCACAGCATACTGCTTTACCTGAGTGGTGGCAACAGCAGGGGCTGCGGAGGCCGTGGCTGAGGGAGAGAGAGCTCCCACCTGCTGCAAATGCCCAGAAGACTGCTGAGGTACATGGGAACTGGAGACAGGAGTGCTAGATCCTGAGCCAGATACTACATTTGGAAATGACACTGCTACATCATTGCTGTTATAAATACCTGCAAGAAAAGAAATTTTATTTAACTATTTATAACTTAGAAAATTTGTCACAGACATACAATATTAATTGGTAAGTTAGAAAACTCAAATTTCCTCCTGATCCCTCCCCCAATTATAAATTTCACTGTTGGTGTTTTTAAAAAATGGACCAGTAACTAAATGAATAAACACTGGCTTTTCATAAAATACTTGTCTTAAAGAACCTAAATCAAAAAATGCCTTTGTTAATGTTAATAGGCAGGGACCATAGCAGGAAGAGCTTCATAAAAAAAAAATAGACAAAGTGATTTAGGAGTTCCTAAGAGCAATGAAACATTTCTTAAATAGGAGAATGAAGCAGTTAGAGTCACATAAAAGTCCCCTGGTAGGCCTTCCAAAAGACAAATGCTGAGGCCCCAGAAATCACAATTTAGGTGTGAAATGGGAAGTAAATTTGTTCTAGAAAGGCTACAGTGTAGAAAATAAAATGGAACAGGACTAGACTTGAAATTCTGAGACCAATAAAGAGGCTGACAACACTGGTGGGACACAGCTGTGGGAATAAATAATGCAGGTGGATTCTAGAGACATTCAGGAACAAGAACACACAGGCCTTTAGGACTGACTGTGGAGGGGTGGAGGGAGGATTAGACTCAGGACTGCAAGGGGGTGGCACCCCAGGGACACAGGAGGTAAAAGACAGTGGCCTGAGACTTGATGAAAACAGTTTCAGTTTCACCATGGGTATAAAAGCCAGAAAGGAAGGGGAAAATGAGGAAGTGAAGCTAGTCATTCTAGAAAAGAAGACGGAACAGGAGAGGGAGAGAAAATGAACCTAACAGGAAACAAGGAGTTAATTTTTTTTAAGTGTTTTGATTGTTTTTAAAAAATGGGAAATCATGCTTATGATAACAAAGAGCTCACAGAGAAGGAGATCAGGATCAAACCAGTAGTTCTCAACTAAGAGTGATTTTGCCCCACAGGGAAAAATCAGCCTCTGGAGACATTTTTAGTTGTCAAACCAGGGGCATGCCACTGGCATCCAGTGGGTAGAGGCCAGGGATGCTGCTAAACATCTTACAATGCACAGGACAGTCCTGCACAACAAAGAAATATCTGGCCCGAAGTGTCCATAGTGTGGAGGCTGCGAAACCTTGCTATAAACCAGGGCTCCTGGCAGGTGGGAGGGAAGCAGATCCTCAGAACTAAGTGCTGTAACAGGGAGGAAGGCAGGAAAGAATAAACCTAAAAGGGCTACAGTAAAAAAAAAAAAAAAAATTTTTTTTTTAGAAACTACAGCCTAGAAAGCAACAATAATTAGTAATTGAAATCATCATACAATTTACTTTGTTCTAAAGAACATAAATATTATTGATTCATAATAAATAAAAGCACCTACAATCAGACAAGGGAAATAAAAGAATTGGGACATATTAAAAGGCCTTACAACTATAATTAAGGCTCCTAGATTCTTTTTGTATCTATAATTTCTCCAGAAAAAAAGATTTACTCATTTAGCAAATGCATTCATTCTGCAAACATCTGAGAACTCACTGTTTGCCAGACATTATTCTAAGCCCTGGAGATACAAAGCCATTCAAGATATGTGGTCTCCGGCTTCAAGAAGCTTAGTGCGAAAAAGACATCACAAAAGGCTGTGGAGAGTGCTGTGATAGAGACATCCTCAGGAAGAGGTATCAGGCCCAGAGTGAGGAAGGGTGGGAGTTAAAAAACTTACTAGAGAAGACAGTGCCTTTAAAGCTAATTTTTAAAGGCACTGCAGAGGTCGCAACAGTTTGCAGAACAAACACATAACGGGAAGTAAAGTCTAAGGACTTATAAGTACCATCTATATAGTTTAAGCAAGAAATGAGGCAAAAAGCAAGCAGGGACCAGATCAAGAAGAACTTTAAAAGTTAGAAGTTTAGACAATGAAGAACCACTGCAAATTTTTAAACAGAAGCTTGGCAGGATCTGATTGATATTTAAGCAAAACACAAATCACTGGCAGTAGGCTGAAAGTTATTAAGGGCTGCTGCAATAATAATGGTGTGCAAAAATTTAGGATTAAACTAAGGTAACAACACAGGCAAAGTTCACAGGACTTGGTAACTAATTAGCCCTGAAAAATAAAAATGAGGAGAGTTGAGACTGACCACCTCTTCAGCACCAGGAAGTGGAAGTGGTGACACCACTGACCAAAACAAGAGCAGGGACTGAGGGCCAGTAATGGCCAGGACAACTTCCAAAAGGTAAACATCACTCCCTTTTTACATAAGTAAACAGAGGCTTAAAGGAATAAAGTAACTTGCTAGGTGACCTAGGAGGTGGTGGAATCAGGATTCAAAGTCACAGCTATTAATTCTCTACCTGAAACCACTTCCTAATCCAGGTTAGAAGTTCAGGGTGACGATCACCATCTTCCAAAAGCTTGTGGGACAGAGAGTGCCCATGCAGTTCAGAACACAAGGGGATAAGCCTGCAACTTACCTGAAAACCAGTTCTGGAGACACAGATTAGGAGCCAGAAGCACAGTAAATTTAAGTAAACTTTGCAAACTAGAAAGACTTTCAGTTGGCCTACACCATGGCTGAAAAATTTAACTAGTTGCTCATATTTAGAAATGTGAAAATTTCACATTAAAAAGTCTGGATTTCGGGCCAGGCACAGTGGCTCATGCCTGTAATCCCGACACTTTGGGAGGCCAAGGCAGAAGGATGGCTCGAGGCCAGGAGTTTGAGACCAGCCTAGGCAACATAGCAAGACCCTATCTCTACACCAAAAGTTTCCCAAAAAAGTAGCTGGGAGTGGTGGTGTGTGCCTGTAGTCCCAGCTACTCGGGAGGCTGAGGCAGGAGGATCACTTGACCTCGGAGTTCGGGGCCACACTGAGCCATGATCACGCCACCACACCCCTGGCCTGGGTGGTAACATCTCTTTAAAAAAGAAAGTCTAGATGTCTAATTTCTTTTGAAAAACTAAAGATCTATCAACAATGGACACTATATTATGAGGTAGCAACATTCTGGCTAGAGCTCTGGACAGGGCACAGGTACTTTGATCCACCAGAGTCCGCTTACTTCTTCACTCAGCCCCTAGAAGTATCTGATTTACAACTCCTGTTACGGATATTGGTCAAAGCCAAGGAACAAAAACGAGATTACCCAGGGAAAGTTCTCAGCATGATAAGAGAAGAGGACCAAAGACAGAGAACCCTAGGGAACATTACTATTCAAAGGGTGGACAAATAAAAAGAGACCACAAAAGACAAACTCAGAAAAGACAATCTTAGAAACCACTAAAAGAATTTCAAAGGAAAAGGCCAAATGATTCTATTGGTTATTTAGGATAAAACCAGAAAAAGGAGTCACTACATGTAGCAATAAATCTTGGCAAAATAGTTTAGCTGAGAAGGACAGAAAAGAGACAGCATGTTAATGAAATGAATATTTATAAACCTTTTATTACAAATAACAGACACATAGCAGAAAAAAATATATACACTTTTAAAAGTTGTTTACTCCATAGATAATTCAACAAATACTCACTGAGTTTCAACTATAAAAAAGGTACTGAAGACAGCAAAAATAGAAAAGAATTCTGCCTTCAAAGAACTTAAGAGTCTCTAGCAGAGGTAATAAATATTCATAAGCTACTACAATACAGGAGAGAAATGATAGGTACCGCAAGAAATACACATGAAATAAAGCACTATTTAGATTTAGAGGAAGATTCAGGTGGAGAAGCTACAGGAAGTACTTGAACTCAGTTTTTTTTAAAGTATCTTAGATAAAATGCTGGTTACCTAGTTATTTTGGTGGTGAAAAGCATACTATACATGGAATCTCCAACTTCTAAAACTAAAAGACGAAAGTTAGCTGGAGGCAGCATGCTGAAACTGAAAAAGCATAAGCTTTTGACTAAGACAAAATTGGGTTCAAATCCTGGCTCTCCCAACTATATGATCTTAACCAAATTACTTAACCCTCTGAGCCTCCATATTGTTCATATCTATAAAACAAAGATAACAGCTACCTTAAAGGCTTTTTGTGAGAATTTGAGAGTATCCATATAAAGGTTCTAGCAATGGCAACCATACACTAAGTTTCAATAAATGGTAGCTGTAACTATTTTAGAATTAATGCTCTACTTAAAAATTTAAGTCAGGAAAGTACAGTATTTTAATTGTCAGGTCCCCTAATGTCCCTGCTAAACTTTGAAAGCTGCAATTACCATCACCATATGCAGTAATATATCATGAAAGTATCATACTGAGAAGTAAAACTGTCGTGACTGAGGACCTTCAATCTTGAAACTATAGGAAATTACATAGCTAAACCTGCAAGTCAGTGATCACACTCTGAAACTCAGTTACTGCTATAAAATACAACAAATCAAAAATTTCCTTTCCTATAAAGGCAAGAAGCTTAAAATTCTCAATCTTTCATTGAAAATGAGAATGACTGATTTCCTTCCACTCCCTTACATCTCAGGTATGCGTGGTACGGCGTGCTCCTTAAAGTGTTCTGTACCCACTTTCTATTTAACATCACTCTATTTCCATCTTTTATAAGTCATACGCTATTTTAACCCAAATCGAGGTGACATTCCTTGAATTAAGTAGAACTGGCTAGACGTGTTGGCTCATGCCTATAATCCTAGCACTTTGGGAGGCCAAGGTGGGAGGATTGCTTGAGGCCAGAAGTTTGAGACCAGGCTGGACAACATAGCAAGACCTTATCTTTAAAAAAAAATTTTTTTTCTTTTTTTCAAATTAGCTGATTGTGGTGGCACATGCCTGTGGTCCCAGCTATTCAAGAAGCTCACTTGAGCCCAGGAGTTTGAGGCCGCAGTGAGCTATGATAACACCACTGTATTCTAGCCCAGGCAAAACCCTATCTCAAAACAACAATGACAACAAAACCCCTGAATCCTGTTATGCACAAACACTACAAAAATATCCTGAAATTCATCTGTTCAGGATAGAGAGTAGAAACAGATGTAGAATGATATGAGGGTGG